AAACTAAGTTAAAGACAGTCGGGGCTCATACTCAGGCTGCAAGCATTGCACCCTTTGTGGTGTGCCACACTGAAGGGCAGCCACAGCCTGCTGGCAAAAGTCTCTTTGGTAAACGTCCTTCTGGAGGCATTCCCTATAAAGCCTATCATATTATATACGGTGCATCTGCTCCTCCTAAATGGAGATGATGCCTGGCAGGTGACTACAAAGGTTTGACTATGATGCTATAAATTACATTTTTCTTAGGCTTTAATGAGTAACGAAGAGAAGGGCACTGGGGCATTAAAAATGCCATCAGAGAAATCCTTAGAAAGCATAGCATGGCCGGCCTGGCCACCTGAGTTTCTGAAGCCTTTTGCTTTTGAACACCAGTCAGTTGGTGGAAGAGTTTCCGTTGAGGAGCTATACATCCAAAGTAAGTTCTCAGACTTTGCAGAAAAGCCCACTTCACTAGCCACTGCAGTCCAGGATCAGTTCAGGATCTGTGGCGGCAACAAGGACAAAGGGCACAGAGCAGGGACAACAAAAAGGCCTCATCTTGGCAGGTGCAAGCCATGCCCTGCACCATTTGGGCCGCTTCAGGAAATATTTACCCGTTTTGCTTTGCGCACTCGGTGGGCTTGTCTTCCTCCCTCTTTCCCCTTTATTCTTTCATTTTTGTATTCTTTGCGCTGCTCCTCACTGGGGACTGAGTAGGTAAGGGTGGCCCTAAAGTTTAGGTTTAAATCCCCATCCCCAGTGTGATAGCAGCTGAAGGCAAGGCCTTTGGGAGAGAATCAGATCCCAAGGATAGAGCCTCGTGAATGGGAAAAGAGCCTTTATTAAGGGCCCTAGCCACTTGGTCCTTTCTACCTTGTGAGCAATATTAAGGAGACAGCCTTCTGCAGCCAGGAAGATGGTCATCAGCAGAACTCAATCTTATTGACATCCTGATCTCCGACTTTAGGCTCCAAGATGGTGAAAGATAAATTGAAGGGGCGAGGTCGATCGGTAATTAATGATCCACCAGACTAGCTTTCAAAAGATACAGCTTTAATAAAACAGAAGGAAAACTTACACCAGAATCCCAGTGGTCCGTCCAGAACGCTGGAGCCAAGCGAGAGAGCGAGGGGAAGCGCACCCGCCAGGTTTATAGGTAAATTTTTGCCTTAGGGCAACATGCCCCATGGACAGAATGTGATTGGCTAAACTTCCCTATCAATAAATTATATGATTTACACATGAATATTCTCATATGTGGTACTTGGTAAAGCATCCTAACTAGACATATTCAGTTTCTGTCTTTAGGGTGGACCCTAGAAACAAAACGTGAACAAGGAACACCAAGTGCTCAGATGTTAACAAATTTGACTCATACTTATAGGGTGGTAAAGGCCACCACTATACGGGTGAGGGTATTGAACCAGACACAAAAGACAAAATCTGCTTAGAGCCACACAACTCTTATAACGAGACGTAACTGTGCTCTGAGAGTTGAAAGACCCACACTGCACAATTCTAGGGGCACAAGGGTGTAGGCTCTGCACCTAGCAGTATTCTTAGCTGTTATAAACCTAAGAGCGCTCAGGCTTCAGTCTTCCTCCAGACTTTAAACAAAATTTCTAAGAAGACTCATCTGAAAGCATTCTCACTCACATTTATGTATGTATGTATGTATGTATGTATTTATTTATTTATTTTAAAAAATACTTTTCTATCTCTCTCAGGACTTCAGTGGAAGGATTACTAGGAATTCACGGTTGGCAGGTAAGCCCTGAGCGAAGAGACATATACATGACATCTTTTATGGGTATCTCAAGTCTCAGAGGTCAAGCACCAAAACCTCAACACCATTATCACTGTTGCTCTCGTTATTGTCAGCTTTTAGGCTGAAGTACTTGCTTTTCTAGAATTACGGAGAAACTAGAACCCCTCCATGGCTCTCATCCCCTGTTCCCTCCTAGGCTTGCAAAGCTTGGGAAATAAATGGGACCCCTATTCTTTAGTCTGGTGATTTCCTATCGTGCTGGGTAACAGCTCAGCTTCTCCAAGGAGTTAATGACTGGCTAATTAGTTTCCCATTCTAACTGCTTTTGTATGCCTCCGGTCACAAACTACTGGGTACAAGTGAGGTCCCATTCACTGTAATCAACTAACTCCAGGAGCTTCTAACTCCTGCCCCTGAGGTCAGTGTGACGTAAAAAATCGCACAGAGATCCCATGAGATCCTTTACTTGTTATGACCGGTTCTGTGACCTTGAGTGGAATCACTCTCCTAAGAATCTGGTTTGGGCACCACCAAATGGGAGGGTCAGGGGAAGGCGCACTGACCCCTGAGAAACCAACCATTTCTTGTTGGGCACAAATCATTCCACTGGTACTAAATTGTTCTTTTGGGAAGATGTTACTCTACTTACGAGGTAGTCACATGTACCCTCAAAACGAAACAGCATCGAAGACCAAATATTCTGCCCTAACCCCAACTATTGATCTTGCCTGTTATGCAAGGGGTAGGGGGAGGACAGCACCTTTCCTGAGGGATGCACCGAGTGCCTGAGAACCCTGCTCACACGGAGTTTTGCTCACTAGAAACACCACGTATAAGCTCACAAAATATGCCTGTCAGCAGGACGATGGTAGCGCATGCCTTTTGTCCCAGCAAAGGCAGAGGCAGGTAGATCTCTGTGAGTTCGAGGCCAGCCTGATAAGGTCTAGGACAATCTGAGATACACAGAGAAACGCCTGTTTTGAAAAACAAAAACAAAACAACCAAAAAACAAAATATGCCTGTCCACCCCTCACCGTACTCAGGAAGCTGCATAGAAATGAAGGACCTATTTCATACTGATATCTTTGTTTAGGCTCAGTTATACTAAATCTACGTGTCTAAAGAAGCAATCTGTTACTCAGAGAATTAACTTTGGTAGGTAGGAAGTTTTACTATTCATCTCTTGATTAGATCAGAAGTCAACGGGGAGAACCATGCACAGACTAAAACCTTTGAGGCAGGATCAGGAAAGAACCAGGGAAGAGAGAACTGATAACGTGATAGTTATTAAAATGTCATCCCCACTTAATGGAATGTTCAAGAATGAAAACAACATTCACAACTAAATCAGAATCAACTGGGATGTGGTGCTGATAGAAAAAGCCAGCACACTGGTCAAGACAGAGTCGATTTTCCACAAGGCAGAGTCACTGAAAATCACATAAGAGCCTCCTGCTTGTATTATGGATTGAGGCTTAGAGAAGATACTTGAACCAAAAAATTGGTCTAGTTTGGAGAATATGCTAATTTCCTTCTGGTAATAATTTTAGAAATCATGGGTTTTCTTTTCCAGGCAATTATTTTAATGAATCAATTGGGGTTTCAAGAAACAATTAAATGAGCTCAATTTGGTCTCAAGTTCAGCAAAATGAAATCATTCGTTCTGGATTTGGTTCAGTTGAGGTCAAGTCTCCTGTCTAAAACAGAATAATAGGATTGGGGTAGTTTTCTTTTATGTCCTGTACTTCCTTTGTATTGTCTTTCCCCAACTTTTTTCAGTCCTTTTCTGGTGTGTGTGTGTGTGTGTGTGTGTGTGTGTGTGTGTGTGTGTGTGTGTTAGCATAAACATGCATGTGTGTGTAGATGTATCTGGAGAGCAGAAGTCAATGCTGCTCTCTCTCCTTATCTCTCTCCAGCTGATATTTTTAGATAGGATCTCTCTCCCTGGGACCCAGGGCTTCCTGACTCTGCCAGGCTGGTTGGCCAGTGAGCCCAAATGTCTTCCTAGCTCCCTGCCCCAGCACTGGGATAGCAGGTGTCCATGCTATGCCCAGAGTTCTATGCAAATGTTGGAGTCCTCCTGCTGAAAGCACTTCATGAACTCAGCCATTTCCTGCATTCTGGGTTCAGTTTATATAGAACTATACACACACACACACACATATATCTTTATATATATAAACCTTAAAGCTTGTTCTCAGCTCTCTGAGTTCCAATGAGAACTGATGAAAAAGCAATGACTTCCCTCATATATAAAACTGAGCATTGAATAATCAGGGATGTATCCTGTTACATGTTTTAACATTTATTTATTTTTCTGTGTGTGTGTGTGTTGCTGTATATGTGCCATGTCGACATGTGGAGGTCAGAAAGCCACTTCTGAGAGTTGGCTCTATTTCTCCCATATGGTACTGGGGGTTGAACTCAGGTTGTCAGGCTTAGAGACAATCACCTTTCCCCGATGAGTCCCCTTGCCAGCCCCAAATGTTTTCTCTTTTTCATTCTGCTTTTTTTTTCTTTTTAAAACAATTCTTACTATGATGCTTGGGATAACCTCAAACTTGCTATGTAGTGGCCCAGGCTGGTCTTGAACTCACAATCCTTTCCCTTAGCTCCACCCTGTGTGGATTGCAGGCATGGGCCACGATGCCTGGCTTACGCTTTCCGTTTAACGAAACTACATTGCTAGAAATTCAGATCACATCAATTAGCTCACACAGCAGCTAAGGCAATTACACAAGTAGCACCACCTCTCCAGATAGAAGTGTCTACAGTGACGCTAAACCAGGCCCACGCAACAGCACCCCTGTAAAAACAGGGGACATCAGGAAATCTTTTCCAAGGACGAGCACAAATGCAATTCTCAACCTGTGGGTTGTGAACCTTTGAAAAGGGGGTGTCAAAAGACCCTTTTACAGGGGTCCCACATCAGATATTCCGCATATCCGAAATTTATATTACTATTAATAACAGTAGCAAAATTACAGTTAGAAAGTAACAGCAGAAATAATTTTATGGTTGGGGGTCACCACAACTTGAGGGACTGTATTAAAGGGTCACAGCATTAGGAGGGTTGGCAACCACATTGTGAGGCCAACGACAATAAGGAAACATAGAGAAGGAAAACTTCATGTCTTTAAAAGTTTCGAATTGCAGTATAACATGGGTGTTGGGGATAAGGCATGGGGCTAAGGTTCCACAAACAGCATTTCTTCCCAGACAGGAAACAAAGAAAGCCCCACTTGTCTCTTACCTGTGATGGTGGCTTTGTTGATGGATGGTTGATTGCACATGGGTGATCGTCTAACGAAGAAGGAAAACACAAAACAGTAAGTGTGTGGTGCTTTTTGACTTTAGTACCCTGAGTTGCTTTGAACGAGCCATTCTAATCTAAGGAATTATTTTAAAGTTATAACACGATCATAAATGCTTCATTGAGTTTAGCCCGGAAAGTTCTTAGATGCTCTTTCCCTGTGGCTGAGACTATGGGTGGGAAAAGAGGGAGAAAAAGGAAAAAAATGCCAGCTTGAATCTTGTGGTCGAACCCTGGGGGAGATCAAGCAGGCAGAGACATCGCAGGGATGTGTCTGGAGAGGGCATTCTTATTGGCTGACTGTATCCACATATTCCATTAAGCTAGGGTATGCAGAGCAAAACAGACTTCCTGAATGTGGAAATGCAGTCAGCTTATAATGGTTTTTCCCTGGTGTAGTATTAGAAACTTATTTATGGCTTATAGTCTCACGATTTCTTGTATATTTGCCAGGAGTGAATGACTCCCTCTAAACAATCCTGGAGATTGAAAAGGTATGTAAATGTTTTTTTCCTTTCCAGTTTATTCATTGCGAAGCATCTCTGGCACGTTTGTTAGAGAGGTACATTAATAGCTTGTCTAAACAGATGCCTTAGAAATTTTAGTGTCCTATAAACCCATTGTATTTCAAGAGGCTCCATTTAGTATTTTTCACTATTCGTCAGTTTTTTGCCAGCTCCCAAAAGACAATTATAAACATCTTTAGGAATATGCCTACTATACCATTAACCTGTGTTCTCTAGGAAGGCCAACATGATGCATATAGTATCCATTTGGTCCGTGCTGATCAAATTATGTTGAAATGAAGCATCATTTATGAGACATCCATTAAACAATTTGGAAATAAAACTTTTTAAAGTTATTTCATATAACTGGCAGCCTTCAAAGGACGGCAATATTTAAAAATATCTCAGGAAGCAGATACATGGCAAGATGTCTGCAAAACATCTCAGGCCTTTTTCCTGTGTGTGCATGCATGTGCATACACACGCTTTTTCTTACAAAGCCCTGCACCGTGTACTTTCAATGAGTTATCTCACTTAACCCTTAGGACAAGCCTCAAGGCAGGTGAGCTGACTGTATGCAGTTTGCTAAGGACAAAGCAGTATTTTGAGAAGTTGAAAGTTTCAGATTATCAGAGCTGAGATTTGAACTCAAGGACTGCGACACTCATGCTCCTCTCTGCTCTGTTATCTTACTATTAGGAGTGTGTGTGTGTGTGTATGCTCACTCGCGTGTGTGTGCATAAGTGTGCATATAAGGGAAAGAAAGGTGGGGGGGAGAGGGCATGAGAATGATCCGGGCAGTCATATACATGAGCCCATTGTGGCTAGTCCTTTTCCTCTACCCTGCTGGTAGGCTGTGTTTCCAAGCCAAGCTGCAGGACACCCAGGGAACGCAGTCTTCACATTATGTAGGCTTTCACTGGCTCTACTCAACTGCACCCAGTTGCTCTGCTGTTCTTAAGTTTATTGGTGTATGCTTTGTACTTAAATTTTGTGTATGATTGAAAATGTACCAAGATTAATGTCTATATTATTTATTATAAAATACAAAGTGGAAATGTGAATGTGACAAATGCTTTATAAAACAATAGTTTAAGGTTTTAGAGCTGCCTTGGTCTATGGAGTGTGGTTATGTTCTTGCTGAAGGTTTATTATGTACATGTGACAGAGACTGTTCAGGGAGGCATTGCTGTAGACGAGAGCTTATCCAAGTACATTTTATATTGATAAGAATTTTCAGTCACTCTTTGTTCTGTAGAAATTTAGAAAGTATTCCCTTGGCATTGGAATATCAAATGAAGATGTTCTGCTTTTCTATAGTTATAAAAAGCAAAATTATTGCCTTACTATTTTTCTTTTCCTAGGGCCAGTTCTGTGGCTTACATGTGGGAACCTGGCAACCCATAACCATAAATATTGACCATTAGATCCATGAGGACATTGGTAGGTATATCATTTGGTGAAGGATGAGCCAAACTTCACTTCTGGGCTATGTATGGCAAGAGAGCAAGGTGACAGAAACTAACAGTGTGTCTACAAATGTCAGTGATGATCTCAGGTCTCCCACCCGGGGTCAAACCCAGGGCACATTATCCCTCAAGCCCTTCCCTAGTGAAAATACAAAGATGCAAACCCTCCTCTAAGTGTGATGGTGAGCTTGAAAATGTTCCAGTGGCTAGGGGTGCTCATCAGGGAAATCCAGAGCCCACCAGAACTGCTGTTCTCAACCTGTGGATCGCGACCCCTTTGATAAGCACCCCCACCTCCAAAACTATTTACATTACAATTCCTAACAGTAGCAAAACTGCAGTTATTAAGTAGCAATGAAAATAATGTTGTGGTTGGGGGGGGTCACCACAACATGAGGAACTATATTAAATGGTTGCAATGTTGGGGAGGTTGAGAGCCGCTGTTCTAAAGTTAGGCAATGTGTCCTCCGCTGTCCCTGAACAGAACCAGTTGTCGGGAGTTTGATTCCTCAATTATGATGCCCCAGGAATCTGGTTAAACTTTAACTAGTGGACGAGGTACACATCTGCATTCTCTAAATGTGCCGGGTCTCTTGTAGTCCGTTGTATACGTGTTTGGTTTGGCGGGCATCCGTCAGCATGGGTGTCATATAGTCAGGCAAGCTAGATTAGCTAGATTCCAGGGTTAGCTTTGGCTTTCTGACTTCCTTCTTTCCATTTAAATCCACTCTGTCCCCACAAATCTGAGCGGTATAGAATGGACTTCTCTTCAGAGACCCGAGGGTCAGTGTGATGCCCTCACAGCTGTCACACGTGTCACATCAACTGTCACGAGTTTACATGCTGCTTTACAAGGTGACGGCAGCTGCAGGAAACTGAGCAGAAGTTTGTTTCTTGTTGGCCTTTTTAAGATAAAGAACTGGATTTCTTAGACAAAATTTGCAGTGGAAAACTTGAGAGGGGCAAACAGTGACTTCAGTCTTCGGGCTGAACTGAGACCTTACAAAAGTGCGGAGACGGTCCCTCCATGGTACTAGAAGCCCAAGAAGCTTGCGGAGGTCAGCATGCCACGGTACAGCTGACCGTGCTGCACAGAAAACGCCACTGGCAAGACATGGGCCCCTCAAAGCACACCTTTGGGGTGCAAATGCTTTCCTACCAGTTGACTATTGGCAGCATCTGCAGGGGGTTGCACTGTGTGAGGATGGGAGCTGGGAACACAGTGTTGAACAAACTCCCAAGGTAAGTAGAACCTATGAAGGCACTGTGGGGATCACCGGCAGAGGGCTGCTCCTGCCAGGTGGCTTCTGACAAGACGGGATCCCGGCAGTCAAACACCGAGAGGGTCACCACAAAGAAATTCTAGAAAATGAAGTCGGCATTGTTTGTGTGACAGAGAATGCGGCTGGGCAATGACAGTGGTTCAGAGATGTCTAATGTATTGTCTTGAGTTCAGCTCAAGTTGAGAAGACATCAACGAATGGTTCGGGCAGAAAGGGGGGGGGGACTTACTTGCTGGGTGCTCGATCTTGCAAATTAGTTAATGCAGCAAAGTTGTTTCGTACGGTTCGCAGGCTGGCCAAGACCTATGACAAAAAAGAGAATTCTTTAGAGTTCTTGAGCCAGGGCCAGCTGGAATGCAGCTAAAACATGCTTTGTAAGGAAGAAAATTTATATTCCTCGCAACTCAGTTTGTATACCATTATAGAATCGTCCAGAACTTAGTAAAGTTTTTAATCCTGGTACATCAAATCCAGGGAGGTTAGACTCCCAGAATTTTGTAGACACCCTCTCTCACTGGCCTTGCTTGTGTTAACAGTAGCAACACCAGCCCCACAATCCATCGTCATCCACACAATGTCCCCAGAAACTGCAACTGTAACACTCTATAATACAGACCACTATGGAAGTCTAAAGTTCAGTGATTAAAATTAGCCGAGAATTCTCTTAGAAAATTCCTCAAAATTTTTATGATCTCAGGCCATCAGATTAAGAAACACTTGTGCTGTTTTCCCATCTTTAGAGAGGACTATGCTAGCTCGTTCGTGCTCAGGGGCTCTTGGCCTCTGCAGCAGCTGTGCACACTGTGGAATATAAGTAGTTTGCAGAAAGACACAGAGCACAGAACGCACAGTGCTCTATACAAAGGGTACTATTCTGTACACACTCGGAACAAAGGAAGTGTTCAATAGGATGCTACGGAAGAAACAAACACATGGATGCTATATAGTCACATGGATGTGGATACGTCAGGAAGCAGATGGCCCCACCTCTGCGAGCCCCTTCTTTATTCTAACTCTAACCAGAAATAAAAGATGCTTAAGGAGAGGAAGTGAGTCCTGGAGAGAAGTCACAGGTGCCCGCTGACCCTCACTTTCTCCTAGGACAAGCTACTTTCCTCTGGGGTGGATCTTTATTAAGAGTAGAGGAGCCAATAAGACCTCGGTGCTTAATAGAGCTCCGAGTTTCTATAAAAAACACAGAATTCACATGTCCTGGTATATGTCATGTAGTAAATGCACATACTTGGACAAGTTAGGACACCTCCTGTACCCCAGTTTCCTTGCGTGTGAAACAGATAGTGCTGTTGGGAAGGTTAAAGGAAACTACATATTAGTGCCAATGACATTGCCTAAGCAAAAAGTGTTTGGTGATTGTGTGTCCATTGTGGAAACTTCCATTTAATCGTCTGGCACCAGGGAAGTCTGCATAACGCTTATCAGTGGCAACACATAGAATTCTTAGATTTTTAATTGACCTAGGGGCTCGAGGGCTGTGCCCTGAGTTTCTTCATGGGACAGTGATCTAGAGGAAAGCCACTCTGTGCCTCAAGCATTTGTTTTTGGAAGCTGATGGTGACTTGTGCAAGCCAAAGGGAGCTGTTTACGCTCTGCAGCGGTGACCTTCAGCCGTCCCGCTGAAGGAGTTCCTGGTGCCTCCTAGGAAGCCAGCCAGTCACTGGAAAACCTGGCTCATTATCACACACAGCTCTGAAAGGTCACACTGCCGGTGACGGAGTATCCAAATAGCTGGCTGCTGACGTCAGACCACAGTGTCTTTCATGAAGCATGAAATTCTGAATGATGCAGAAATAAATGGATTAATGAGCTAGTCATGAACTCACGCTGGCTTGATTTGTGCTTTAAAATGTGAATATCAAACACGTTAGCAAAGCACTGAAGCATTAAAGCATTGAAGTAACAACTCCCTTTCTCTAGACTAAGATTTTAACCTCTGAATTTTGAGGTTTTTCACTCCACCAAAGGACACTTAGGTCCAGTATGTTCGGCCACTGGGTAATATAAGCAGTAACTGAAGTATTTCATTTCTCTGGAAAATGTTTTGAGGGTAATTCATAGTTTATGATTATTTGAAACAAACAACAAAAAAAATTAGCCCATGAAGGAAAACATTAGCTCATGAACAAAACCTCTTCTATAACGAGGTTTGGTTTGAAATGGGGTTCACTGTGCAGCCCTGGCTTGCCTGGAAAATCACTAAGATAGAGCACACCGGCCTCCAATTCAGAGATCTGCCTGCTCCACTTCTGGTAGGCCGGGGTGAAGGGTACCCTCCACACCTGGTCTATAGAAAGTTTTAAGCTTTGGTTATATTAGTAAGATACTAAACTGAGTTGTTCATTTCATTTTTATTGTGTAAATTTTTAAAGAACTTCTATTTTTGCATATTGAAGAATTTAACCAGCAAAAGAAAAGTGTTGTCGAACAGAAAATTATTTATCGTCATAATCAAGCCAAAATTCCAACGACTGCTATTTCTTTGAAGAGGAAGACACATGGAATGGAGGAAGGGCACTCAAGTATCATTCGAAGCCCAGATAGCATTTCATTTAACTGCTCATTTTATTATTATTATTTCTGTCTTCTCTATTCACTACATATACAGTATGATACATTTCAAAATGAAAGCGAGGGAAGAAGCTCTCCCCTCGGGCCCTGGCTGCCTGTCCCTGGCCTGCTGAGTTTTAGGCTGTGCCTTCACTTATGCGATTGTGAATTCTGATGTCGTAAGTGACATTAAAGACACCTGGCAATGTTTTGGTTTGCAGCGAGACAAAGCTTGCTTTCTATGTTTTGCATTGAAATGTTAATCATATCTCCCACTCCGTAACGTATCTGATGGTGGCAGAAATGTAAAGAGGAGTCTTCCATGTGAATTGGCCATATACGATGCCGCCCTGGGTCTGGGTGACTGCCTCTGGCATCCTTCATACCAATATTATTAAGTTTTTCCTCAAACCCACTCATTTCTCAGGACACAAGGAGGGAAGCAAGCCTTGCCATACAATGAGGGAAAAACGGACAGGGCTTTCCAGAGGCCGTGGGCAAAGGTTCAAGTTCATGGATTCCCCTCCGCTTCAGGTCAGCATTCTGCCATATATTTAACCCTAGCATCAGATGCTGAAATCCATACTCTGCACTGCCTAGAATTTTCTTGTCTCTTTAATGCTTATTCGCAAAGCTTCCTTATAATGTCTTCCAGATGGCTCAGGCTTAGAAAACTAAAATCATTGCTTTATCTTTGGCCACTCCAAATCATAGAATTGTTTAAGGAAAACAAACAAGCTAACTAAACAAACATGGGAGTGTAGAAGAAATCTAAATCTTAACAGTGACTAGTGACAGCCTACAGGAAACATTCATTGTTCACTGGCCAAGGGGTGAGAATATTCACACACACACACACACACACACACACACACACACACACACACACACAATTTCAGGCTCTTTGGGTGCTTTCAAACGTTTCTTAACTGATAGGATTCACTGAAGTTGGCAGAAAAATAGAAAAATGTTGGTTTTATTCAACAGCTTTAGTGAAGGAAAGGAAATGATTTTCTGGGTTGTTTTCCAGTTCATACTCAGTTTATGCCAGTAGGTGGCAGTAGAAGACAGACTATGAGAGCCAGGGCAGGGAGGCAGTGGCCTGTCCTTGTGAGGGCAAAGATTCTTCCTTAGGCTTCACATCAGAAAAAAAAAAAATCAGCGGAGAGTTATTCACAGAATAAAAAGAAAGCTACTTTGATTAAAAATCAAACCTCTCTCCAAGTTATACTTTTTTTAAAGCATATGAAGTGATTCCTTCTGATATGTTAGAAAGTTCTTGGTAATCATATAATTTTGTCTAGTAAGAACAGAACTATCTAGATGAATGTAATTCATCCCGATAATACACAAATTGCTTATTTGTTTTTTAAACGCAAGTTGATAAAGCAACTGAAACGAGACAATGTCTCCCATTGCCTAACAGAGGTCCCATGTATTCAATGAATTTGGCCACAAATTACAAATAACTGTTACTAGGTGCAAAGGGACATACAGCTTAAAAATATATTGGTGAGGATCTATTACTAATGGAACAATAATTCTCCATCATGTTAACAACCAATGCATTTTTTTCCCTCTTTGAAACTATCTAGGTGTTGTAGTTTGGGTGACGTACACGAAATGATGCGGTTGTTCCATCCCCTTGTGATGTTTTCAGAGCAGGCATATCTCAGGCATCTAAAGGACACAAGGATATTTGTGTGCAGGGACCCAGGCTTTGGATGCTTGTTAGCAGGAACCCAGGGTGTGGATTTTAGAAGATAGTCACAAATAATGGGGCTATGGGAAAGAAACAGCTGACTGCAGAGACAGCGGCCAGCTTCCAGCAAACAGCTTTACCTCCTGTGTTCAACAGCCCCAAGGACTCCGGCTAAATCATTATTATGTTCAAAGGGAAAGAAAGGAGAAGTGGGCATAAAGGGCAGATTGGAGGGGGGTGCCTCCCAACACCAGACTTCATGTCTAGGGAAATAACCCAAAAGATATGAGCACAGAAAAGAAATGTTCTAAAATAAACTATATAAACAAATTAAAATTGGCACCGTTTTCTGTAGGTCAGGGAATCTCGGAGCTTATATGAGAAAGTTCAAAAACTTTACCATATCAGAGTTTAGATGCTGGTTAGTTCCTAGTCTTGTTACGATTTGTACGTCAGAACAAAACATGGAGAGATTCTGTAGACTTCTTTCTAACAATTAGATCTATCCAAGATGTTTGAGGTCCCGTCTTGCTCAACCAAACCACGGATCCTCAGCCGTTCTAGACACATTCCCAAACACTTTAGGTCATTTTATCATCTCACATCTATGCCACTGAATTGAAACATTTTTGTCTCTTACGCACGAAGATCACAAATGTGCCACTCAGCTAAATCTTGGTACAAATAACACATGTGGAGAAAAAAGGAGTAAATAAAGTATCAGGTTGAACAGGATTCTTGAATTTCAAATACAGATCATGGACTAATTATACCAGACGTAATCTAATCCATGATACAGTCTTCTCCTTCGGGTGCTAATTCCAGTTAGGGAAATAGGGCCGGCCGAGTCCGATCTCCTTTAGGTAACTTGTTATTTGAAGTACAAACACCGTTCAGCTCTAGCAGCCTTACCCAAAGCACTTCTGTGCGGCTAGGGTTTACGTTCTCCAGCATTGCCTTTCAATTATTCGAATCAGCCAAACAGTTTGCATTCATGCGCGTGTATGTGGTAAAGTGACATTAAGGAATCAGAGTAAAATCCCCACATCAAATGCAGAAGTCTGTGAGAAGCCTGCACACTCCCAGCTGTGCTTACCTGAGCAAATGGAGTCACAATCAAGTCATCTCCATGTCTGAAAAACAAACCAAATCCAGTGTTAGGCGTCTCCAATAATGCTCTGACCATTTTTGATCAATACTAAATGGTACGTTCCATTGGAAGAAAATCCCATTGGGAATTACAGTAATTCCATGTTTCTCTTCAGAATATGTCCTTGCCAGCCATTGGGCTGAAAACATGTCTTCTGGATCTTAACCATTTTCCATCTCCCTTGGTCTAAAGAGGACACCCTTGATTGCCAACCAACGCCAAGGTTGCTTTTTAGGCACAAAGGATGGGCTATTGGTATGAAAGGGCTCTCATTTCTGGACCTGCACTTTACTCTTGACTTCTCCTTGGAGATCTTAGCCAGGGAGGCCTTGCAAAGGAACCAGCTACAGCACTGGCTTCTGTGAGTAGACTACTCTGGGCTATCTAACATTTGTAGGTGATTAGCAGCAAGTGATCTGTATGATCATGTGTTCAAGCCTTGGATGGGCCAGGAGCCCTTCATGACATCGGGATGCATCATCCACTAATAAAAACCCCATGAAACCTTTTCAACTAACAAGTGTTCCAGCCACTGTACTTACAGGGCAATGTTACCCTGTGAGGTGCTGTTGCTACAGTAACGCCAGCTCCAGTACACGGGAGATACAAGAGCAAGGTGTTCGTGGGACATGTCTTGGAGAAGCAGGGGAAATGCAAGAATTGATACAAGATTCTTCTTGAAGGAAAGTAAGAAACTGGAATTGGAACTTTGCAGTATTTTCACAGCATGGATAAGTTGAGGAAAGGATGTCCCAAACCTCGGTGGACTATTTCTTGATCTAGCCAGTTGCAATCTTGTTTAATCATACCATTTTACTTATCTTGAAAGACAGGCTTGCCTGGCGTATTAGGCTGATCTTCAATTTTTGATGCTCCCACCATGCCCCTGTGAGTGCCAGGATTTCTGGTGTGTATTGCCACATGCCAGTTTTTAAAAACTTCAGTGAATGTAGTTATTTTACACAGTTATTTCCTTGACATAATCCTCACGGAGGGCTGGTCACTTGGATTGTCAGCTTGTTCCCAAGCGTCTGAAAAGGACTCAAGTCTCCAAACCAATGTCTATGAGTCATGCAATACAAGAAGCAGAGAGATGAGACTTATAATGGGTTAATGATGATGAAACCACCATCTTGGAAAGCAGTCTGCTACCTAGGGAATACTACAGAAAGAAACAAACACAGCAACTTCCGGGACGGACAGAATAAGCCGCTGCAAGTCACTGTGGAAGTGAGTGTCACATTGTTCTTGTGTCCTGTGATGTGGAAGGAGGTGCTCTATGCCTGCTCACCTACCCTGGTCACCCTGAACTAAGTAAGACCTATTCCTGTGGCCGCATGGAATCCCACCTCTCCCCTCTTCCAAGAGAAGGACGTGCTGGCTTCTGAGCCAGTGCTACTGGGGACCTGGAGGACAGGCTCAGCGGCATGTGTTGACAAGAGAAATGGCAGTCCTCCCTCTCTCTCCACCTGTGTCATCTTTCCCTTGACTCTGTGTTCCTTGCTATGCTGTTTCTTCCACTCTCGTTTCTGAGCTAAAGAGCCAGAAACGTAGACAAGAAACCAAGAGAGTCAAAAGTAAACCTTATTATGCACAGCGCTTAAATGGGAGATGGGCACTACATTCTAGAAGACTACGCTCAGGCAGATTTAGCTCCTGACAATACAATTCATTCAGTAACTGTTTCCAGACTGTGGGAATTTGGGAGACATCACCTCTTCTTAGTTTCAGTGCTGGAGGCTTTTATAATGTTTTATTTTTCTATTATTTTTCCTTCCTTCCTTCCTTCCTTCCTTCCTTCCTTCCTTCCTTCCTTCCTTCCTTTCTCCCTCCCTCCCTCCCTCCCTTCCTCCCTCCCTCCCTCCCTTCCTTCCTTTCTCTCTCCTTCCCTCTGTCCCGCCTCCCCTACCTCCTCCCCTCTCTCTGTCTCTCTCCTTCCTTTTTCTTTTTTTCCTCCTCCTCCTTTCTCGTCTTAGATACAGTCTCACCATGTAACTCTGACTGGACTGGAACTTGCTATGTAGATCAGCCTAGCCTCGAGCTCACAGAGAATCACCTACCTCTGCCTACTGAATGCTGGGATAATAGCCACACCCCACCAAGCCTATCTACCTGTTGTTCTTTAAAGTAAAACTTCAAATCTGGACCTGATGGCACAGGTCCACAGTCCCTGCTACTCAAGAGAGCTGAAGCAGAAGGAACAAATATTCAGTGCCCAGGTGCACTACAGGGCGAATTGAAGGGATAGTCTGGGCAACTTAGCAAGATCCTGTCTCAAAAATAAAAATATATCTAAAGGTCTGAGACATAGTCCAATAGTTCACTGGGAGCATGCTTACCTTACATGCAAAAGGTCCTCTATCCAGTCTCTAGTAACAAATACACACACACACACACACACACACACACACACACAATCACAAATAAATAAATAAAAGCCCACAGATTTCATTAAACTTTTAAAAATTCAATACAAGTTTAACACATAATTATAAATAGTTGCAATCAATTTACAACAAAAATTAATATATGTCAAATGTACAAAAAATTTCAGAATGAGTATCTTCTAGTTAATGTCTATTGTGGGTGAGGAAAGGGAGTCTCAAGAAAGACACATGATCACATGTTTGTGAAGATTTTGGAAGAGGATTCAAATTCAAGTGCTATGACTTCAAAGCTCTCCTCTTACACACACGTGATTCTCCATCTCCTGTACATGTAACCAGTATCCAAAGCACATCTGAAATGATGCCAGCTCTGTGGTATAGTGTTCACGTCATGAAAATATCACTAAGAAAACATAATCAGACACAAATAATACAGAGTAATAAAATAAAATTAAACGGCAAATAAAAATACTCATACACCACCCAACCAGTGACTTAATAAAACCGGCTCAGCCTTCCTGATGATCTCCATGCCCTATAATCTGAAACTAAACAATAGAGAAACTAGTGAAAGCGCATTTACTTTTGGATCTAGAAATAGAGTTCTGGGGATAGTTAACTAACAAACAGGGCACAAAAGTTTGTGCCCTGAGGAAAAGCTGAGGAAAGCATATGATAGATACTTATATATTGATATCTGTAAGTTAACATGCATGTTAGATATGTTATATATCATATATGTGTACATATTATATGTGTAAAGAGAATTTTGGAACTCTCATTTTCTTATTATAAACATTTATTTTTATGCTAAGTTTCAAAAAAAGAAAAAAAATCCCAGGGGGAGAAAAATCCCACCAATTGCCTATTATCAGGCACTCAGAAAATTGACCTATTCTCCCCATTCTACTCCACAGGGAAATTTTCATCAGACATTAGCCCTGGAAATATTACCTATGACTTCATATAATTAAAGAGTACCAAGTAAGGGCTTTGGATACAACTCAGTGATGGAACAGTTGTTTAGCATGTTTGAGGAGGCCCCGGTTCCACCCCTAGCATCTGCCCCCCCCAGATATCTATATATTCATATATGTTTATCATCTAGCTTCAGAAAATGTTGTGACCTTAGAAGGTACTTGGTCTTCTGAAATTTAAAATATCGCCTTACGTCTGGTTAACATTTTTATAGTTAGTAAACTATCAGAAGAATTCGAATAAGCACATTATAAAGAAGCATAGGCACTCGCCAGGCAAAATATCATATCAGCGAGGGATATGAGCTTTAACAGCACTCCGCATCGGGGAAAATGCAAACTGAAAACAAGGCACCAGCTCTCGCTTAAAGGTGAATTTGATTTTCATTTTAAAAGGTAAAAGATTGCCGGTTGGTGCTGGTACACGCCTTTAACCCCAGCACTCTGGAGGCGGAGGCAGGCAGATCTCTGTGAGTTTGAGGCCAGCCTAGTTTACAGAGAGAGTTCCAGGGTGGCCAGGACTACACAGAGAAACCCTAAGACAAAGATCATGTGTCTCCTTCATGCCAACAGTAGTACAATGGGCTCATTAAAAAAAAAAAAGTCAAGCATATTTGAGGAAAAGAAGGAAAGATCTAAAATCAGTGTTCCTCACACCTCCGTGTCAGCTGTCACTTTAGATCTTTCCTTCTTTTCCTCCAGAGTGTGTGACGTTTGTCCAAAGTTGAGAATAATGCCTCTAGAAAATTCATTATTCACTTCTGTGTATACAGCCAAAGAGAATGACAAGGGCGTGTCACAGAGATATCTGCACTCCCCGTTCACTGCATTCGTACCCTCAGTAGTCCTGAGCCACAACATAGCCTCACCTTCAGGCGGGAAGACAAATAAAACACGGCGTACATACCACACAGAATATTACACAGAATTGAAAAGGAAAGTGTTTGGTGCAAGGCGTATAAAGCCCAGGCACACTATGCTCAGTGTAATAGGGCACACTAGCACTGTGTGAGCTCACATATGCAAGGACTCTAAAATCAAACCAAATGAAACACTGAGCTTTGAGAAGGAGGGTGAAGCCTTGGTTACTAGGGCTGGGAAATGAGGTGGGGTTCAAAAGCCTTATGATAAATAAATTCATGCAATTTATAGCACAGATTGTTGGCTAAAATGAGCAATAATGCATTGCACACTTGGAAAATCACTAACAGTGATGTGCTCATCACCAAAGCAATAACTATATAAAGTGATAGACACATTAATTAGCTTGGTCTAATGATTACACACTTTTGACTCCTATTATAACTTTTACTGCAAATCTCAAACACAGTGTCTTAAGTAGGTTAAAAAAAAGATAAAATTTTAAAAAGAATTAAGAGCTGGTTTGATCTTTGAATCAACCTAACCAAACTAAACCATCACAGTGGATGTGGTGGCGCATGCCTGTAATCCTAGCACTTGGGAGACGGAGGCAGGAGAATCAGGGTTTCAGTGTTGTAGTTTACTGTGTGGTATACAAGGCCAGCCTGAGGGGCAGAAGGCTCAGTCTCAGAAACAATAAAGCTAGAGAGAGATGGATCAGCCAGAAAATCACTTGCCACACAAGGCCGAGGGCCTGA